CTGGCCAGGTGTAGTGGTGCAGGCCAACCTGAGCAACTTAGCAAGACCCTGTCTCAAAATAAAGAAGGCTGGGGATGTAGCTCAGTCCCTAGTACTGTGAAAAGAAAGAGAGAAAGGGAAGGAAAGGGAGGGAAGAGGGGAAGGAAGGGAGGGAGGAAAGAAAGAGGAAAGGAAAGGAAGAAAGGAAGGGAGAAAGAATGAGGGAAAAAAAGAAGGAAGAAATAATAAATTGTGTCTGTAGTGAACATATCACACATTTTTTGGTCATTTTTCCCCAAACAATATGATCTATTTACATAGCATTTACATTGTATTAGGTATCATAAGTAATCTATAGATGATTTAAAGTAGGAGGACATGTGCAGATGATATGCAGTATTGTGCTATTTTATGTAAGGGACTTGAGCATCCATGGATTCTGGTATTGGGGTCCTGGAACCAATCCCCATGGATACTGAGGCATAAGTGTGTATATTGGTGAATGCTGTTTTTTTTCCACTTTAGATTATATTATAGGATTTTTTCCATGTCTTAGAGATTCTGTATCCTTATCACAATAGAGTAATGATAAATCTTAACAAATTTTCTCATATGATGGGTAAGAATGTGGCATTAATTTCAAGGAGTCTGAACATTGTTACTTGTGTATTTGTGTTTTATTCCTTTTTTTTTTTTTTTGCATTAAGTGTTGCGTTCCTATTTAATTTTTTAGTGGTGCTGAGAATCAAACCCAGAGCTTGCTCATACCATGCAAGCGCTCTACCATTGAGCTACTTCCCCAGATCATGGGGTGATTTTTGACACCTTTGCAGCCTTTCTAGGACCTGCCTAGTATAGAAGCACAAGAAAGAAAGCTTGATAGATTGTATTTCCCTAAACCTTGGTATTTCAGAACCTGAATGCTTGCCTCCTCTCATTATGTGGTATAGTTTAGGTGACTTATCACGGACTTTGAAAGTCAGCCATTTCACCGACAAGACCTTGTGTTTTGGACCAAGTAGCCTCTAAAACCCATCAGAGACAGGATACAGTCCTTACAGGCATCCTGTGTTTGGTCTGATGATTCTAGGGCTGAAGCTGAAGGAACAGATTTCCAGGATTAGGCTGAGAAACTCATGTATAAGCCCACAAATTACTTCAAGGTTATGCCTGGGGAGTCCAGGGATTCTCAGGAGCAGCCTGGCCTTCTGACGTGCATTTCTCCACACAGCCTGAATGCAGCCTCTCATCATCCTCCCAGACCAGTGAGACCCTCAGGCTGCTGGCAGCTGAGCAGAAGAGTGGCAGTTGCTTGGGACTCTCTACAAGGACCCAGCTCACATCAAACAGGTGGGTCCAGTTTGGTCAGCTCCATCGTCCCTTCCTCCTGCATGGAGTCACAGGGTCACTGACAACCTCTACCAACTTTCCTTTTATTCTGAACAGTCATGCACATGACTCCACTTTGTTGTAAGCCCATCCTTGAAAATAGAGTCTGTAGGGGCTGAGGCTGTTGCTCAGTGGTAGAGCACTCACCTAACGCAGGTGAGGCACTGGATTCCATCCTCAGCACCACATAAAAATAAATAAATAAATAAATAAAAATAAAGTCCACCTACATCTAAAAAAATACTTTAAAAAAAGGGGGTCTGTGGTATTCAGGTCTCTTTGATTTGACTGTTCATTCCCTAGGCAAACCACAGTGTTTTCATATGGCAGGTGCTTATTAATAAAAGGGATGAAGGATGAGTAAATTAAGCTTAAGAAACATTCTTAATAACTCCAGTTCATAGAGTTAGCTATTGACTCTCCTTGTCCCAGCTTAAAAGAGTTACTTGGGAAGATGCTACTTCTCTTTGCCTCACCCATGTCTTCTGTCAAATGGACAGAACAGACAGTCACCCAGAGGGGAGATATCTCTAGCTCCAATGTTTTATTAATTTGCTAATTATATTACATTCTTTCGGTAACATGCAATAGAAATCCACAGCAAGTGAACAATATGTTGAATGAGTACAGCTTATAGTTGGGCACAGTGGCCCACACCTGGAATCCCAGCTTCTTGGGAAATTGAGGCAAGAGGAGGTTAAGTTTGAGGCCAGCCTGGGCAGCTTGACAAGACCCTGTCTCAAAGTTAAAATTAAAAAGGGCTAGGTATGTGATTCAGAGGCTTAGTGCCCCTGGGTTCAATCCCTAGCTCTACAAAACAAATAAAA